GAGGGATATGGGGCGGGGGCAGGGAAATCAGCCTGGAGGAATAAAGGCTCCTTTTCGCCTTTCAACCTGGCGAAAACGGGGAACCTTCTCACTGTCTTCAACTCCTGGGGCAGGACTTCCCTCCTACCACAGTAGAGCTTATCTGGTCTATCCATCAGATGATAGCTCCAGACATTCTCCCCCCCCCATGAATTGATGAGATAACCCAGGCCAGCTTGGCTAGCTAGTGAGTTATTTCTCTCTGTCAGGTGGAATTCCCAATAAACACCTGGCCTTGAGAACAAGATATAGGGAGATAAGATGGAATTCCTGACTGAGAGACACTTCACTTTATAAAAGCTACACAAACTTTCACAGAGGCAGAAACCTCCTACACACACCTTGGAAATGTGTAGGACTTCTCCCCAAAGTTTAGATGCAAATTCTGTGGATACTTTCCTGAAAACTGAGTGAAAGAATTCTATGTGTACTCAATCATCAATTTGATGGTAAGTTACATTGAATCCTCATCTATACTATTTCTTAGCTATCTGTAATATAGGTACCTTTTTATTGTGCACCGTATTTTATCTACTAGGAGTTGGTTTTTGTTTTTTTTTTTTATCCTGTGTAGTAAGTAGTCTGTTCAAAGTCTTATGTCTGTTAATTTTGTGTCTATTCAATAAATAATTAATTTTGTAATAGACCTAATCAGCCATTATTAAGAACTTTTGAACAAGAGCAATCTGGGTGCAGGCCACCCCAAACAGACCAGTGCCAGAAATCTGAGTCAAAGGCAGCACTTGTCCAAGCTCATCTCCATTCATAATAACTCCTTGGAGGGAGGCTGGAGCCAGGTGGAGGTTGGGCTCTGCTCCCAGGTAACAAGCAACAGGACAAGAGGAAATGGTCTCAAGTTGCACAAGGAGAGGTTTAGGCTGGATATTCTTCATGGACAGGATTGTCAAGCCATGGTAAAGACTGCACAAGGCAGTGGTGAAGTCCCTATCCCTGGAGGGATTTAAAAGCCATGTAGATGTGGCATTTGGGACGTGTTATAGATACATATTATAATATTGGCTTTTCACAAATATTAAAATGGATTTTATATGTGTAATGTTGAAGTAACTTTGTCATAAAGATATAGTTTTTATTTCTGTTGTTAATTAAGCTTAGACATAGTAGTGAAATAGCTATGCTTGTGTTAAAATGCCTGCTTGGATGGGATAACATCCAGTGAACATAGGATGAGGACACTTGCTACAGATATGCTAGCTATCAGTACTCAGTGTCTGAAGACAGTGTGGACCAAGGCCCAAAACTGAAGAGGATGATAAAAATGGACTAAAATCATAACCAAGGAATATGCATGTTCTAAAAAGGTGGACCCAAGGAGAGGCCATGTAAAAATATGTAAACTAGTTTGGGGGAAAGTTTATTATGCATTAGGGTCTATGAATATGTAACAGGCTGATGTAAGGGAAAAGGTTAAATTTAAGGGGTATCTCCAAAGATAACACTGTGGTTTTTGCTGAGTGCCTAGATGCACCTGGCTGGAATAACCTTTGCTCTGTGGTCCTTGTCTCCTGTTGTCCTTTAGTAAACTTTTAAAATTTTCACAGGAGAGTGAGCGTGTTTTTCACAGACATGTTTAGTAGTGGCCTTGGCAGTGCTGACGGAATGGTTGCACTCAGTGATCTTAGCGGACTTTTCCAACCTTAATTATTCTGTGATTCTATTTCAAAGCCCAGCCTAAGCAGAGATGAGCACATCTATCGTGGATGTACAGGAGTACACCGCACAATTACAAAGGTGATGCACAGTGCATTGATGCCCCAGAGCACTATGGGTCCCAACTTGGGAAATACTGAGGAGCTTCCTAAATCTTTAATTGCAATCCTCACTTTTAATTGCACTGGATGTAATAGTGGGAATGATACAGTTCTGGAAGACAAAGTAATGTCTGTGTAAAGACACCTCTAGTTGATATTTATTTATTCTCTTTCCAAAGGCAGCTTTTTGAGCCATCCATCTCCAGCACTGAGTGCTCCAATACCATCCATAAAATGAGTTTCCACAATTTGCCTACAGGTAAGAATGAAATTAAGCCATTCCAGGCAAAGACAAGCAAAGAAAAAACACCAAACCCAAGCCCAAAATCCTCAGGGTCTAAGAATCACAAAGGGAATACAAAGCATTATAGTAGAGAAACAATTCCCACAGGGATAATCCTGTTTTTCACTGTACTCCCAGTAGCTGCAGCCACTGATGAGTGGGAATTGCTTTTTCTCTTTGTAATTCAGCATTTGGGTATGTGGATTTCACTGGTTTTATTTGAGTTCTGCTCCTGGTGGAAATGCTGGCAGTGCTGCAAGGCTGACAAAGACTGGAGGGCTTCAAGTGTGGATGTGATTTGGGTGCAAATGGACTTTATTGGCACCAGGGAATAACGAAAAAGATGCAGAGAAGAATGGAGGGGTTGAGGGAGTGATGGAGGGACAGTGGGAGAATGGGATGGAGGGATGAAGGGATGGAGATAGAGAGGAATGGAGGGATGAATGGAAAGATGGAGGTATGGAGAAATAGAGTGATGGAGGAATGAAGTGATGGAGAAACAGAGGGAGGAATGGAGAGAGGGAGGGTTAGAGGGACTGATGGCAGGATGGAGAAACAGAGGGATGGCAGAAGGGTTGGATGTCTGGCATGATGGATGGGGTGAAGGTGGAGGCAAAGCTAGAAAGGAAGATGGGATTTGGGGCTGGAACCCACCCTGGGAATCAGATTTCAGAAGAAGCTGTCAGCAGGAGGTGGCGGGGGGGGGGGGGGGTTTTTTGTTTGGGTTTGCAAATGAAAAAGGGGCGGTTTGGGTTTGCAACTGCAAAAGAGGCAAAAGGAAATAATAAAGTGTGTGTGTGTGTGTGTGTACATACATGTGCACACAGATGAGCAGCTCCCATATGTGTACACATGTGAGCAAGTATCTGTGCATGAGTGCATGCATATGGGAGCACACACATGTTGTCTCTGTGTCTGTCTGCTCATGGGTGCATCTGTTCACGTGTTCACATGCATGTGTACAGCATGTGCATATTTGTGAGACTGGACATGTGTGTGCACATCTGAGTGTATGTACACATGTGCATATGTGTGCATGCACGTGCACACAGGAATGTGCTTGTGCATACAAATGTGCATGTGCAGGATGGGCATATGTGAGTGGACAGACATGTCTAACTGTGTGTGTGTTCATATGTATGTGCATGTTCATATTTATGTCTGTGTGCATGTATGTGCTTGCATGTGTGAATGCAGGTGTGCATACCGTTGTGCATGTATGAGCACGGGGGTGCATTTTCAGTTGTTCATGTGCATGCTTGTGCATGTGTGTACAGGGCTGACTGTAGGGAAGGAAAATATAGGCTGGATATTAGGAAAAAGTTTTTCATGGAAAGAGTGATAAAGTACTGGAATTGCCTGCCCGGGGAGGTGGTGGAGTCACCATCCCTGGATGTGTTTAAAAAAGACTGGATATGGTGCTCGGTGCCATGGCTTAGTTGAGGTGTTGGGGCATGGGTTGGACTTGATGATCCTGAAGGTCCCTTCCGACCCAGTGATTCTGTGAATTCTGTGAATTTTGTGAATTCTGTGTATGTGTACAGGTTTGAGTATACGTGCATGTGTTTGGATGTGCTTGTATGTGTGTACAGTCATGTGTGTGAACACACGTGTGCACATCTGTGTGTACAAATGTCAGTGTGCACTGCATCTACACTTACATGAGAACCTGCATGTGTGAATGTGATTTGTGTGGTTTTGCATGTCCTTGTGCCTGTGTGCAGTTGACATGTGTGTGCATGTGCCCATATGCCTGTGCAGGTGTGTGCACACAAGAGTGTCTTGCATGTGTGTTTGTATTCCTGTGCATGAGTGTGTGCAGGTGAGTGACCATGCATGCATGTGCATGAACACATGGGCACCTTGCACATATGTCTGCAGGTATGTGACCAAGCATTTGTGTGTCTGCACACACGCATGTGCATTTCTTGCATGTTTGTGCTCTGGTGTGTGTCCTTGCAGTTACCTGCACACATACATGGGCATGTCTCCACATGTGTGCAGCTGTGTGTGACTGTGCAGATGTGTGCACACAAACACATGCATCTCTTATGTATGTGTGCAGGTGTGTGTGTGACCATGTCTTGCACATATGCGTGGATGTGTGTGATCAATTGTGCAGGTGTGTCCACACATGCATGTATATGACTTGCCCACATGTGTACAGGTGTGTGATGATGCACGTGTGTACACACAGAGGAGTGTTTGTGCACTGTTTGGCATGTATGTGTGCAGGTGTGTGACTGTGCAGGTGTGTCTGTCCAGGTGTGTGTGAAGTATGCAGGTGTGTGCACACATGGGCCACATGGGTGTGTCCCCTCATGTGTATGCAGATGTGCAGCTATGGAGGTGTGTGGCAGTGCAGCTGTGTGCACACACACGTGGGCTTTTTAAAATCTGTATGTGCAGGTTTCTGTGACCCTGCATGCAAGCGTGTGCACACAAGTGCCTTGTACATGTCTGTGCAGGCCTGTGACCAAGCATGTGTGCGCACACATGTATAGGTGTGTTTCACATGTGTTTGCAAGTGTGTGTGACTGTGCAGGTCTATGCACACACGTAGCCAAGTCTCACAGTCTCTGTGGCTGTGCAAGTGTGTAGCTGTGCAGGTGTGGGCACACACACGGCCATTCCCACATGTGTGTGCAGCTGTGTGGCTGTGCAGCTTTGGGCACCCCCATAGCTGTGTATCACACGCGTGTGTAATGCGTGGATGTGCAAGCATGGGCACACCCATAGCCGTGTATCACACGCGTGTGTAATGCGTGGATGTGGAGGTGTGTCGCCCGTGTGCGTGCAAGCCCCGCCCGCCTCCCCGCCCCCGGTGCGGGCGGAGCGCGGAGCTCGGGGCGGAGAGCGGTGCGGGGTTCGGAGCGTGGAGCGGTCGCTCCCGGCGCAGGGCCGCCATGGCGTGGCCCTGCATCACCCGTGCCTGCTGCATCGCCCGTTTCTGGAACCAGCTGGACAAGGCGGACATCGCCGTCCCGCTCGTTTTCACCAAATACTCGGAGGCCACCGAGCATCCTGCCGCCCCCGCGCCCCCGCCGCGCCCCGCGGCCCCCATCGAGACCCAGCCCGGCGGCGAAGCGGCTGCGGGGGCCGGAGGAGGTGAGCCGGCTCCCGGCCCCGCCCGGCCCGGCCCGGCCCCGCACGCCTCTCCCCCGGCCGACTCGGTCATGCGGCACGACTACAAGCCTTGGAAGGTGCAGCGGCCGGAGCCGAGCTGCAAGCCCAAGAGCGAGTACCAGCCCTCGGACACTCCCTTCGAGAAGGAGACGCAGTACCAGAAGGATTTCCGTGCCTGGCCTATCCCCAAGCGGGGCGACCATCCCTGGATCCCCAAACCGGGACCTTCCCCTGTCCTGGCCCTGGACCGCGCTCCCCTGGAGAAAGCGGCTCAGGAGAAGCGGCGGAAGGTGCACCTCCCTCCCGAGAAGAAGGAGGAACACCCCGAGGTGGAGGATGAGCATCCCAAAACAGTGCGGCCCGGGGATGGGAGAGAGAAGGGTCGGAAGAAGGCGGAGGAGGCGGGCGGGCAGCCGGCGGAGCCGAGCAGAGGCCGGGCGGCTGCCGATGCTGTCAACAGGCAGATCAAAGAGGAGGTGGCGGCAGGGGTCAGCTCGTCCTACAGGTGAGGAGACATATCCCCGGCTCCTCCCCGCCCCCCCCCCTCTTTTCCGTCTAGATCCCCAACCTGCCGGCCCCTCGTCAGCTCTTATCCAGTCCCCCTGTGCGCTTCTGTGGAGGAGCATCCCACCCTGTGAGTGAGGCTGTGAAACGTTCCGGGGGGCTTGCGGATTTCCTGCCCGGGGGGTGTCCTTAAATTCCCCATCTCTCTGAGAATCGATGATGGGGCAGTACGTATTGTGCAGGTAGTGAATACATGGCCACTTTTTGTTGGCAGTTTGTTGGATTTGGCAGCAGGTTTGAGTGTCTTTTGTTCCCTCCCCTCCAATGCATTCCAAAATTCAAAGACACCCTCCACCCTGGATTTCCATAGGGGTGATGTTTGGGGTCACCTCCGTGGAATGTGCAAGTCACCTCTGGTCCTTTCCAAGCACATCCCTGGCTGTCAGGCTGCAGCCAACCCAAAGGACCGGCAACCCGACCATATCATCGGGGGCCCATGCACGAATGGGATGCCCCAGGTGCAGAAGAGTCCCAGGAAGCATCTTAGGCTGGCCCACGCTCAAGACAAAGCATCCCAGGGATGCGCCAGGATGAGGGACATGCATCCTAGGCCGCTTGGGTGGGGCAGCCTTCAGATGCTGCCATGTTTTAATGCAGCGCAGCAGGGGATGACACATCCTTCTGTCCCCCCCAGCCAACTAGAAATGGATGCCCTTATTTCACTTCAGCAGTAGACCTTGTTTGGGATTCGGAGTGTGAAACTCCTTGCAGTGAGCTGCTGTTGTTTTTTTCTCTCCGGGTCAGGGCTTTCAATGTGTTGGGAATGCAAAAACAAGTGATGGGGTGGTTGCCCTGCATGTACGTTTGCAAGGAGGGTTTGCTGCAGTTGTGTTTTCCAGCACTTTCTTTGGCGGAGCCCACCACTGCCGAGGGCTGGGTGGAAGTGGCAATAGAGCAAAGCTGTGATGATTGCAGCCGTTTTGCTTTTCTCTATAGCTGTGTGAATGCTGAGCTATTTATGCCTCTGAATTATTTATTTCCTTTCTTGGGGAGATTAGAGGTGACATCTGGCCATCAAGCAGGTACTACATTCATGCAGATTTAGGATGAAGCTGGGACTTGACTCCTCTGTCCCACTGAGCAAAGCTGACAATCATCTGCTTTCCCCCCTGCCTAAGTGGGAAACAGTTCAAGCAGTGAGATTTTTGCTGTCATTTGGCATCAGTTCTTAACTCTCCCTGGGTAATGCTGGAGGCTCAGGTCCATCCAGGTGTGACGTGGTGCTTGGCTGAGACACAAGAAAGTGGCCAGGAATTTTGGGGGGCTCTGTTTTACAGAGTTGGAGAGTGTTGGGAAAGGAGTCTCTAGGAGTGACACAGCCCTTACATCTGCTGTGAACTGAGACTCAGCTTTTTGTCTTCTCCCCTTGTAATGTCTGGGCTCGTGCTGGAGATAGCAGGGCTAAAGCAGAAAGCTCTCCTGGATCTGGAGGGCTGATGTGTTGCTTCTCTTTCACTGCTACAAAGGATAATTGGACTTATTTGCATATGTAAATGCAGATTGCTCACCTTCCTATCCCTCCAGTCTGCTCCAGCAAATTCCTAAGGCACTGGGCTAGTATTCCTCCCAAAGAAAGGGGTTGGATCAGCAGGGATGTTAAATCTAAGAAGAACTAGAAGGATTCAGCTTTCTTTGTGTAGTTGTTGGCTTTCACAATATTCTTAGGGCTTCTCTTTCCACTTGGGAAAGTGTTCTCTCACTTCCATGTTTTTCTTCCTTGCTGCATATTGTAGAAGTATTTGCTCTGACACTCAGCCATAGAAGCGCCTCTTCATTAATGCATAAGTGATGTTTTGGCTAATTGTTCTAATTTTCTGTTCAAATTGGGCATCTTCTAAGTGTTGTTTATTGTTTAGATTCTTATAAAAAACCAAATTCTCCAAATCCTAATTACTGCCAAGAACCTGGCTGCTGACATGCTGGGTGGATATTGTATATCTTCAAGGATGGAGACTTACAGCCTATTGGGGCAGCCTTATGGGCCACCCAGCAGCCAAAAATTACCCCCTAATGGCCTCTTGCTAGAGAGGAGCAAGAGTAGCTCACATGGGGCTTTTCTTCCTTGTGCATGGATGAAGGCTCCCCATTAGCAGAGAGTGGGAGGGAGATTTCCTTACAGTCCTCTGTCACTGCTGCAAATCAGTGTTTCCAAGGCTGGGAAACAATTCCTTGGTGAAACCAAAGAGCAGGCCAGCAGTAGTTTTTAAGCTCACTCTGTCCCACTGGGTATTATTTCCATGTGAGGAATACCTGAGAGCATGAGATGGAGTCAGCAACCAGCCCAAGGTCATGGAGGAAGTCCATGCTAAAGGGAAGAATTCTCTGTTTTAACCTCTGTGTACCTAGAATATCACAGAGACCATGTGCCTGTGACCTCCTCCCAGGTACACACAGAGATACAGAGCAGAGGTGGTGCCTGGTGGTGATGGAGGTTCCTCCCAGCTAGAGGGATGAGGGATTTGTTTGTATTAGCATTTGAGCAAGAAGCTTTCAGTGAGGCCAGAGTGGCAGGACCATGGATGTCTGCCAGAGACTGCCTGTGCCCAGGGATCCTACAGAAAAAACAGAATTTATTTCCAGTATTTCTAGAATCTATTTATCTTATTCACAGTATTTACATTATTTATATTTATATATTTATATATTTATTAACTCTAATTTGTTAACTATTCAGTTATATATGGGATTTTTTTATGTACTTATTCCCACTTCTCTCACTGAGTGTGCAATGGTCAAGCAAGGTTCCAGCACTGAGGGGCTTCTTGCCTCAGTTTCCCTCCCTAGCACATGAGCTGCCTAAGTTTATAGGTAACCAAGGCAGGTTACCTATAAACTTAGGACCCCTTCTCTTTGGTCCTGCTTCTCAGGGTGGCCTGTGGACCCTGAAGGACCAAGGACCAGGAAATCCTTCAGTCAGGTCAGTGACAAGCCCCATGGAAAGCCACTGGTGGTGGGTTAAGCTGTTTCTTGTTCAATTCTGTGAGGGCTTTATCTGTATGGGTGAGGGGATTTCTCCTCTTGAACTTCTGGATGGGATGGGCAGAGCATTTCTCCCTGGTGCACCAAAGGATGGAGTGGGCTGGACTTGACTCTGGCGGTTTGGGATCAGAGAGAACAAGCAACAAAATATGCTCGCAGTGTCATTTGCTGGTGGATGCGAAACAATTAAAAGCACATTTGGCAAAAATAAAAGAAGGAATGAATCAATACTTTCCATTATTATCTGGAAATTATGGGGAAAATGACAGAATTTGGTGTTTCTTGGGTGTTTTTCCCCCCCTTCTTCTTTGTCTTGCATTCTGCTTCTTTTGTTACCTTTATTCCCTGAAAAAAAAGATACAAAACTGAAAGGAACCATTTTATCCCCTTTGTAAGGTATCAAAATGAGTACTAAGAGAATTAATTTCCCCCTGAGAAGTAATATTGTGAAACCAGATTTAATTTTTTTTTTACCAAACCAATTATTTTTTCCCTCCCACCAACTTCCTTTCCTAGCAGAGGGAACAAGACAATAAAGGCTTCAATGGAAAATTTTGGACTGCCTCTAGTATTAATGAATCGCCTGTTGCTAATGTTCTGTCATTCATCTTAAACCCTGGAGGTACTAAAGATGTGGAGCAAATGAGAATTTGTAGTAGCTATAGAGATGAATGAGTCAGCACTGGAGACTTGCTGCCTGGTTTTCAGAGATACAGCAGAGATAATTTAGGGAGGGATATCCACACAGGAAGGCTGGACCAAGATACAAAAGGGCATGAAATTCATACTCCTCCTTGTTCTGAAGACAGGCTAGGAGAGCTGGGGGTGTTCAGATTGGACAAGAGAAGGTTCTGGGGAGACCTTAGAGCCCCTGCCAGTGCCTAAAGGGGCTCCAAGAGCCAGAGAGCGGCTTTGAGCAAGGGTCTGGAGGGGCAGAACAAAGGGGAATGGCATCCCACTGTCAGAGGGTAGGGTTAGAAGGGATATCAGAGAGAAATTCTTGGCTGTGAGGGTGCTGTGGCCCTGGCACAGGTTACCCAGAGAAGCTGTGGCTGTCCCATCCCTGGAAGGGTCCAAGGCCAGGTTGGACGGGGCTTGTAGCAGCCTGGTCTGCTGGAAGGTGTCTGTGCCCATGGCAGAGGAGTGGAACAAGATAAGGTTTAATGTCCCTTCCAGCCCAAGCCATTCTGTGTTCCTGTGATTTTATCTAACGTATTCTTGAAAATCTTCAGTGGAGGGCATCTCCTATCTTGGTGAAAATGCCAATAACACTGCTTATGCTGTAAGATGGGAAATTTTCCATTGCCTTCTGAAATTTCTGATCAGAGCCATAGCGATGTCTGTACTAGTAAATTTAAAGAGTCCCAGGACACATTCCTGGGTGTGGAAACATCATGTACACTCCAGTTCCTAGAACTGTCCCTAGCCCTCTTCTCACACTGAGTTTGGTAGCACACACTCCCAAGCCAAGAACTTATCCCTACAATCAGATTGGATGCAACCACCTTGGTTTTAGAGGTTAAAGAGGTTTAACAGCATGAGTGAGGGCTATCCCAGACTCCGCTGCTGGAGAACATTCCTGGGCAGATACCATTCTCCAAATCCTTGTTGTTTCAGCTATGAGAGTGTTTATTAAAGTAACCATGTAGGCAGATGGATCCAATTTTCTCAGGTGGAAGGGAAGGGGCAGAATGTTCTCTTCCATCCAGAATAGGCTGTTCAGAGAGGTGTTTGGCAGCTCTGGCAAAGGCTGAGCTCTGTCTCAGGGGTCACTTGATACATACCTTTAGTAGCAGGAGGAGACACAATGTCTGCTGAAACCACAGGGACCGGTTGTATGAGTAACTAATGACTAATGGCCCTGGTGTTTATGAAGACACAGAGCATGGAGATGGATGATACAGGCTTTGTTGGTCCTGCATGGCCTCGGTTTTGGTAGTGCAGGTGGCTTCTGTGAGAATC